CTGGTGACGCTTAAGCATATCTAAACCAAGAAGGACATCCATCGGTTGATTTTCTAATATAGTAAAAGATGTAGAAAGAAAATCTTTTTCAATTTGAATTTGTCCCATGTGAATTCGTCCTATAATTTTTTGCTGTCCAACACCTACGGCCATTCCTTGCCAGCGATGATCAACTAACCGCATAATGTTGCACCTAAACAAGATATAATCAAAGGTATAATAGTTATAATATTGATATTAAAAAATTTTTTAGAATTTTTATTTTTAATTGTTACAATTTACTTTTTTAAAAACTTCAATAAAATAAAGTATGTTCTAAAAAACAATCTACTGTTGTTGCTTGTTTTTTTTTTTTGATTTTTTTTTTAAAAAAAAAAAAAGCAAATATGTGAGCAAAATCTAAAAATAAAAAAACGAAATAAAATATTTTGATAAAATGTTTTTATATGCATTTATTGATCAAGCAAGTTGCTACTTTGATATTACAACCAATAAATTGAGACTTAATATGAATCGCTAACTTGAAAAAGGGGATATGTCCTGGAAAAATTCACATAACATGTCCCCTTTTTCAAGTGAACCATATGTACTTAATTATTATGACTTAATATAAAGAACTTATTTGTAAAAGAACATGATTAGATAAAAATTTAGTTCAAGGAAATGTATTTACAAATTAACAAAACATAACAAATCTCTATTTCATTCTTTTATATTGCATAATTACATCTTAAAATTAATGTAAACAAAAAAATAAAAATGGTGATATATTAAAATATGGTGATATATACAAAATGGTGATATATGAAATGATGGTGATATATGAAAATGATGGTGATATATGAAAATGATGGTGATATATGAAAAATATATATAAAAATATATATAAAAATATATATAAAAATATATATGAAAAATATATATAAAAATATATGAAAATGATGGTGATATATGAAAATGATGGTGATATATGAAAATGATGGTGATATATGAAAAGGATGATGATATATGAAAATATGGTGATATATGAAAATGATGATATATACAAAAAAATAAAAATGGTTATATATATATATATATATATATATATATATATATATATATATATATATATATATATATATATATATATATATATATATATATATCACCATTTTTATTTTTTTGTTTACATTAATTTTAAGACGTAATTATGCAATATAAAAGAATGAAATAGAGATTTGTTATGTTTTGTTAATTTGTAAATACATTTCCTAAAAAGATGTATATTTTGTTAATTTTGTTACGTATTTTATTATTATTTAATAGTTGTAAATAAATTTTGTTGCAAACATATCTACTTTTTTTTTTTTGCAATTTATTATAATTTTTATCATTGATTTTAAATCTTTTTTAATTAAAATTAGTAAATTCACTTCATATTTAAATGAAGAAAAAAAAATCAAAAACTCTCAAAATAATAACTAATCAACAAACTGTTTGACAAACAAGCATAAAACATGTCGAGTTATTATTAAATTTACCTCTATGTCAATATTGTTGTTGTTGGCGACTTTAATAATCATCACACAGAATGGCTAGGCTCTAACACCACTGGACCTGCTGAAACTAAAGCCAATAACTTCTGTATTTCTCAAACTCTTACTCAGTTTTTACCTTCTTGTGCAGCTGCTATATCTAATTGTAATCATTTTTTAAAAGAACAACTCTCTTGAGAACAAAGGGCTATATATTATTGCAAGAAATCAATCTTAAAAGGTGCTGTCTGATGATAAGCTCCATTATTCCCAGTTTACCAAATTTTGTATCAGAAGTTAAGCTTTAGAGACTTATGGAGCATTTTCAACAGCACCATTAACAAGGTAAGTATAACATTTCATCTCTAATTCATGGGACTGATCTTATTACCTCTCCCTAGGCAGAACTATTTGCAAAGAACTTTTTTTTTTTTTTTCAACTCTTGAACCTATTGGTCATACTCTTCCTGCCATTACAGTAAAACAGGTTAACCGATTGTTAGACTTTTAAATCACTTGAGTTTCTTTTGCTGAAGTCATATCGATTAAACTCTTCTTTGGCTTGTAGTCCAGAGAACATTCCTGTCATAGTATTACAAAAGTGTTCTCCAGAACTCTCTTTAATTTTCTCTTAACTATTTAATAAGTATTTGACAGAATGTTGTTTTCTTGCCTGCTGGAAAATGATATCTGTGGTTCCGATTTTAAAAAAATACTCATGAACATTTTGACCCCTCCAACTAGCATCCAAGTCTATTCAGATCAACAAATATTCAAAACTTCCATCATGAGTCAATTACTGTTAGACAATAAATACATCTTCAGATCTTCTCGTTCTACAGTTGACTTGCTAACTGCTGTGACTAAAAAATTCTATTGTTTATTAGATGGAGGCTGCAAGGCAAGAGCTTTTGCTCTTGACATACTTAAAGTTTTCAATCATATTTGCTATGCGGGTCGCCTTTATGTAAGCGTGCTTCAAATAGTGTACCTGGATAAGTTATTAAGATCATCAAATCATTTCTTTCTAACTGCTTTATCAAGTCATCCTTGAAGTCATCCTTCACTCTTCTTTATTTCCAGTAAATTCTGGGGTACCTCAAAGTTCTGGGGTACCTTAAGGTTATATCCTTAGTCTTCTTGTTTCTTAACTTTTTGTGTTTTTATTTTCATTTTGTAGTTTTTGAACTTGTCTTTTCGTTTGCGTAAATTGTTATTATTTGTGCTGTTGTTGCTAATTATTTTTATTGTTATTTGATGTTGTTATTAATTGAGTGTTTTCATATTTTTTTGTCTTTTTGTTTATTAATATTAATAGCTTAATTGTTTTTTGTTTGTTTTTTAATTAATTTACGCTTATTAATATTGCTGTGGATTTTTTCGTTTGTTTGTTTATTTTATTTAAGTGTCACTCCACTAGTTCTTAACTATATGAATGACACCTAACCTAATTTTGTAAATTATAAAAAATTTGTAATTTTCAATTTTTGGTTAAATAAATGGATATAAATGGAAATAAATGGTCCTGTATTGTTTCTTATCTACATTATTGATCTTGCTGATAATTTTACATTTAAACTCTAATTGCTAATAATTCTCAACTTTTCAAAAAGTGTTTTTCAATTTCTTAGAACAGGCAGCCAATCTTTAAATCTGATCTCGTTTCTATAAGAGATTGGGGCTTGCAGTGGCTTGTAAATTTTAACTCCAACAAAACCCAGTTATATACTGCAAATAACTATTGCAATACTGTCAGTATTCCTATATTGATAAACGGCAAATCTTTCACTGAGTTCTCTTCTTTACATTATCTTGGATTATCTTTGATTACTAACCTCTAATAGAAACATATACAATCAATTGCTATGTTAGAATCTACCAAAATTGCTTCCCTTTATTGTGCTTGCCCATAATCTTACTCCTGATTCCATTCTCTACCTATCCTATTCTCTCTAGTTCCATCAACCAAAACTCATTCTCACTTGACTCCTCATTCAACAAAGTCACATCCTTTTAATGTATCTGTCCTTGCATGCTCTTAAAACTTTTATTTTCATAGTTTTTTGCCCTTGCACTATAATCCTTTGGAACTCTTTCCCATCATACAACCTACAACTTCTTCTGTCTTCTGTCAACTGTTTCCTTGCTCTTTAACTCTATTCTTTGTTTTCTAGTAACTCTTAACTTAATAGTTGTTGCTTGAAGTTTTGTTGGGAGTGGATTAAAATTTAAAAAAAAACTTTGTGAATGCTTGATATGCTGAATTGGCTGTTCTTAATTGAAAGAAAAGTTCCGTCTTGAAACAACATAAAAAGAAGAAAAAATATATGACTTATGCTCAACTGTACAGTTTAGAGAGGCCATTGGCTAAAAATAACGGTAAAGTGGAAAAGCAGATTGCATCAGCAATTACAAATAGGTGTATTTTGTTTAGGAAAAATTTAAGAACTTTCATTGTATTTTAGGACCATCAAGTGCAAAACAGCTATTCAAGGTTGAGCCAGTTGTAACAGCTAAAGATCTTGCTTAATTACAGGCTTGTTCAACAATGTAATCAGACAGCTAGCGGAAATAATCAACAATGTTAGCACAACCAAATTTTTAGACACATAGTTAAAACATTTCAAGAACTTGGCAAAATATCTAGAAGACAGCTTTACTCAGACATCAATGGCATTTACAAACTCCAACAAATTAATCTCAAACTATGCCTCAACTCCCTAATTGAAGATTTACTTCTTGCAAGATTTTTTCAAACCACATCTTTATATAGGAAATTGATGGGGATGGAGAATTTTTAAAGGTCTGTCTTGGAGTTTCTGAAGAGTAACATAATGATTGTTCACCTACCAGCAAAAGCTTGCTTACATCTCAAACATCAAAAAATATTGGTGAGAAAAGATAACTTCTTGTGGTTGTGGTTAAGGACATTCAAAAAAAACTGCACAAATATGAAGCTTTATCTTTCCTTTCTTGATGTTCAGAATGTAAAATTAGTGATCTCTTGTGATATGAAATGGCGAACATTTTATGTGGCCTGCAGGTTAATTTTTCTTCTTTTCTGTGAACATGGTTTTCAGATCAAAACCTTGCAAACCGTGAGACACCAACTTTTGGCTCTTTGAAACATTCCATGTCATTGATAAAATATTCCATGTTATTTGGGTCTTCAAAACATTCCAGGCATTCCATACCTTGTCTGCAGCAGGTTAAACCAGCTTCAGACAAAGCATTCACACCAAAAATCCCAAAAGGTTAGGAAATGTAATTCGCGAGCCTATTCTTTCACTTGACAGTTCAACTTCTGCTTGGTGTCATTATTCATCTTTTTAACATTCTTAAAGATTTATGATCAAAAGCAGACAGTCGGCTTCAATTTTTAAACATTAAGCAATAGTAACATTATGGGGTTCATTTTGCAAGCATTGACAGCAATAAACTACTGAAAAATCTGGATCTTTTACAAACTATAACCAAAAAGGACAATGCTTTTAAAGTTTTTCTTATGATTAAAACCTTGCAAAAATTTGATGATGTAATCTTCATGTTTTGTCATCTTGTTTTTGGCAATTGCATTTTGAATTTGAAGAAAATATTGATGCTTTTTGGAATTTTTAACAATTCTTGTCACTTGGAATTGTCACACCGAAAGTTCATGCAGTTTTTTCTCATGTCAAAGACTTTGTCCCACAGAAAAAGATACAGCTCAGAACTTTTAGCAAATAACAGAATGCACCATTGCTTTACATTGAGAATAATACAGAACACCTAATAAGTCATACAGAATATGAAAAAAAGGCTTGTGATGAGTCTTTTATTTTAACAGTAAATATTTTTTAAGAAACTTCAACCAAACTGTAAAAATCCATTTTTTAAGAAGTATTGTTGTATATTTGAGAATCTTTTAAGAAAAGAAGAATTAAAAAAAAAAACATTAAAAATTCAATTTAAGTAAAAATAATGTAATTTCATATATGTTGTTTATATTATTTGATTATGAATGCTGTAAAAATATCAGAGATGCTGTCATTTTACATATATGTGCATTAAAGGAAATTTTTAAAGGAATGATGTAAATTTTTACATTTTAGGTATCCCATAGTCATAAGCTTTCACAGGTATATCACAATTTTCTCGAGGACTAACTTGACAGTTACCTTGCATTTATGCTAACAGTTAGTAATCAAAGCATTAGTTATAATGCTTTGATTACTAACTGTTAGCATAAATGCAAGGTAACATAGTTTTACATTCCTAAAAAAATCACAACCTTATTTTAACTAAAGATCAAACCAGAAAAGAAAATCACAGAAATATCTTTTTATTATTATAATTACTAAATTCACCTCCCCAAGGTTCCAGAGGCACTACAGTTGAGGAAGCTACTATTTTTTAAAATTTTTTAAACTATTTTTTCATATTATTTGCAATTAACTCTAAACTCAGAAACAAAAACTTTGTTAAACAAGCCTTCTGTGCAGAAAAGCAGTTTTTGTTAACCCCTTCTACTTTTTGCAGAGAAGAGGGTGAGGGTTAACAAAATGAATTATTTTTTAAGAGTAAAGACTAATTCATTTATGGTCCATTTCTTATAACACCAAGCAGGATGTATTTCTTTTGAACAACTCTTGATGTTATTATCTAATAAAGTTATTATCATTACTAAAGTTAATTAAGCAAAATTTTGCAAACTTTACAAAAGTTTTACTAATTTCAATAAAATAACTATTTCAAAAATTTAATAATTAAGTAATAAATATTGTGAAAATTAGCAATACTAAAAAAACTTGAAATAGTTTTAAATATGTAATGTTGAATTATTGAATGAAATTTTGTTTTTAGCACTGATGTTTCTAACCTAATTCTAAATTCAGATAGTATAAAAATGAAACCTTTCAGCACATGATTTGCTCATAATTGTCATTTGCGCACCAGAGTCTACAAATGCCTTAACTTGATGCCCATTTATTAATACATTGATATAAAGCATATAAACCTAAATATAAAAAAAGAACGTCACAAATATTACCAGTAAACACTAAACCTTAATCAAACATCAAAAAACTTAAAAGCTATTATTCATGTTTTTTTAAATAAATTTATTTATTTAAAAATAAATTAAAATAATTTAACATTAAAATAAATTTTATACGATGTTACCAAATGAAATTTGTTTAAAAAAATCTGAACTTTTTTTATTGTAAGATGTATAATAATTATTGAAAATGTTTAATTTAAAGTAATCCCTGGTTTAGGGTTACATGTTGACCCAAGGAACATAAACTTTGACCTTTTTTTTATTAATTTACTTTTATTTCATTGTTGTTATTTCACTCTTAACCCTAAGTGCAAAACACCTGAATAATCAAGACTATTGTGTGAAGAAGTGCAAAACAAACCTCAATAAACCAGACTGTTGTGTGAAGAAGTGTAAAATGCAATCTTGAATAAACTAAAACTGTCGTGTTAAAAAATGTATAAACTCTGTCCCTCATGCTTACAAAACAAAAGCTCAACACTATACCACTACAACATTTTTCTTTTTTTTTTTAAGATTAATCTAAAACTTGTCATGAAAATAAGATAATTTAACAGTAGTACACTAAAGTTTAACTGTCCAATTGAAAAGTTACAACTTTTATCTATTCTGTTGAAATTATAGAATTTAAACTTGAATTCAGCAAAAAAACTTTTTAAAATTGTTAAACCCTTATTTGTAACTCATTTACAAAAAATATACTTAGTACAGGACAATCATTAAAAAAAAAAATTTTCTGCATATGTTATCACATTTATTATTTATTCTGCATAACTAAAGTTCTACCAACGATATAAATATTGGAGTTATTAGAATCAACAGTATTTTTTTTCTAAACAAATAGTAAGAGTTGACATCAAAAGTAAAAGAACAACTTTTTAAGTATTGAATTTGCATGTACAAAGTAAATGTATGTAGAACCAAATAGATAACTCTAGTTCCAGTTTTAAGTTTAAATATTTTCAAAAGACATTTTTTTCATAAATATAAAAAAAATAAACAAAAGAATTTTTTATTTGCATTAATGAAATCCGATCAGAAGACTAATTATTTGATTCTCTGATCAAAACACATATTCATTACTATTAGTTAAAAGTTAAAAAGTGCTAAAATGACAAAAAATAAGCTAGTTCTATATATGTATAACTTTGTTTATTATTTAGTAATAAAAAGTAACAAATCCGAAAACATTATTTGCTTGGAATCTCAAAATAAAATGTTACATTAAAACTCAATTTAAATTAGAATCATTATCTTTATTTTTATTTTACTGTACTCATCTCCCCAAGGATGCGAGGGCTACTTCAATTAAGGTTACTCGTTTAAAATTTTTGTCACTACACTCTCACAACTATTAAATTCCAAAACACCCGCAGGGCAAACAAGATTGTTTGAAAAAACAGAAACAATCTTGAATGCGGTACTATCAGAGATGTGGTGGGAATTACATCTTCTGCTAACTAAAGCTGAAAGGCAATTATAATAACATTTATATAATTAGAATTATTAACAATATTAATACATGTTTAATATTAAAAAAATATATAAATTAATCAAATATATTATTATAGAATATAGAAAAAGGAAAGTATTGACAACTTTATTAAATGTTTAATAAAAATAATAATAACAAATTTTTGTTGATCATAAGCAATGTTGAACAACGAAAATGTTGTTCAAAACTACCTTGGTTTATACCAAACATTAAAAATACCTTGAGCATTTAAATAAACTAGTACATTGAACATTAAAATAAATTAGTAATAAATAAAAATAAACAATTTAATATTGTGGTAGTAGACTAGTCAGGGGCTACTCTAGGAAAATATATTGGGCAGCGGTACAGCGGTTCCTGCGGTAAGGAAATTTAGTGAAAATATTGACATATCTAGGCGTATTTTTTTTTGAAAAAAACAAAAAAAACAATATTTGCCCTACAAAAAAAGGTACTCAGTTTCTAAATTTGGGCAGCGCCTAAATGTCTCCTAAATACGTTCAACGCTGTTGAAAGGGGTCTAGAATACCCTCTTCTAGTGAAAATTTTAAAGGTTTTTTTAAGATTAAAACCTTTAGAAGGTTTATTTAAAACATAGCCTTTAAATCCACTCTACACCAAAAAACAGGTTAAGCTCCATTTAGTTTATACCATTATCATACAGCATTTTGTCTGTTAAAAAATACATAACTCCTTAACATTATACTTGGTTAATAGTACATAACAATTTCACATTTCAGACCTTCTCAGGAGACGCGTGTGGTCGCACGCCTTGAATAACCACACATATATTTTTGTTGATAACTTGGCCACGATTTTTTTGCATATATTAAAAACTATGCATTTTAAAAACGCATTGAAAAACAAAACTAGTTTGTTATATAATTTTAATTTTCTTAATAATACTTTATTATTGTAGTTATTAATGAGAAAATAAAAACATTAAAACAAAATATATATGGGCAATTCCATTTTTAACTTATGTTACATGGGCAACAACTTTATCAAATATTTGCTTATTAAAACTTTAAATTAAACTTTCAGCTATTTTGTATAAATGCTGTTAGTCTAATGAATAAAATAATCTAAAAAGTTTCGAATTTGGCCAAAAGAGATTATTACTGAAAATGCCACTTACACTTATGTTACACGGAAAACAAGGTAAAAAAATTGCTTCAACTTTTAGGTCTGATTTCTGTGAATCAGTAGTTTAAATAACAAACTTTCACAAAATGCTGAGAATTCTATACTAATTTAAAAATTTTGTTAAAAAATCAGAGTTGATCGGTTAAAGAAAATAAACTTGTTTTTTGATACTGTATATTTTACTTAAGTTACATCACTTACATTATCTTGCAAATTTTTTTTATTTATTATTAAGAGTTACGTAACAAAAGAATTGCGTAAGTATTGAAAACATTCATTAAAAATAATTAACAAATAAATTTTTTAAAAAACTGGTGGCACTCTTCCTGAGTGATTTTTCATGACATTCATGAAAGTTATCAAACCGAAAACAGTTTTTTTGCAAGACTAAGTAATTATTATTACTTAATTGAGTAATAATGTCTTTTATTATTACTTAATAGAGTCATTGGTTTGTCGAACTTTTTACTTACACTTTTTACGTTTATGCGTATTACTTTATTTTTATAAGGTTGAATTTTTAAAATGCTGAAAAGTATTCACATTTAAATCTTTTATTTACATCTATATGTCAACAAAAATAATAATACATAAACAAATAAAAAAAAACAATAAAATAAATGATTTTAATGCACATAAAAAAAAAAGGTTTTTTAATTCTCCTTATATAAAAAGTATTAGTTAAAATCTTGTCAAACCAACGGGAAGAAATAATAATTATTAATGATGTAATTCATTTTGTAAATAAAAACTTAAGGAAAAAGCGCCAGAATTTTATTAAATAACAACTTAAAAAAAAAAAAAGATATATATATATATATTTATATATTATTTTTACCTTTTTATTTTGTCATTAATAAAAAATATATATGTGTATTATTGTTAGGTTTTTATTTTCTTATAAACAATTATAATGATAAATTATTAATAATAAAAAAAAAACACAATAAAATGATAAATTAGTTTGGTTTTTTCAGCGCGTTTTTAAAATGCGTCAATTTTAATATATGCAAAAAAATCGTGGCCAAGTTATCAACAAAAAAATATATATGCATGGTCATTCAAGGCATGCGACTGCACGCGTCTCCTGAGAAGGTCTGCATTTATATAAAGTTAATACACTGCATTAATTATGTAATTGTAATGTAAAAATCAAACTGTGACCAACTTTTTCTTAATTTTCATTTTCTGTTAATCTTTTTTTTTTTTAAACTTGTCATTTAACAAATTTAACAAAAGTTGGCATAGGTTTTTTAATTTCTTATATTTGATTTGTATAGCACTTTTTTTTTTTTTTTTTTAATTTTAATTCACCTCCTCAAGGCCGAGAAGGCCACTACAGACGAGGAGGCTACTTATTTGTGGTTATAACCCTCTCTCAACTCTATAACTCCGAAACACGAACCTTGACGAGCAAGGCCGTTGCGCGGAGACTAAGTTAGACTTTTAAAGCATTACTTATTGTGTTATTTTTATTTAATTATTATACATTTTATAGAAAGTTGTATATAAAGGCATTCTACATAATACTGCAAAAGAGAAAATCCAAATATGTTCATAACTCAATTTTAAATTATTTTAAAGAAATTTTTATATTGGCGCTATTAATTATTACAAAAGCCCATTTATAAGACTAGTAATTTTGTTTTTTAAACAACTAAAAAGCCGGAACTAATCTTCAAAAGAAAAAAAAATGTTATAAAAATTTGAAGTTTTTTGTTAATATCTCTATAAATAATTTATTTTGGAAAGTCAAATAAACTAGAAACTTATTTTTAAGAACTATTTTTAAGAACTAAGATATGAACCCAATTGTTTTGGCACTTGGGGATCCTTTTAACCAGTGCCTAAGTTATGGTCTTTTTTTCCAAAAGGTTTATCTAGTTTATAGCAACTTAAAAGATAAATTTTTCATTAGTTTAGTTGTATAATTCATCTGGTAATCATGATCGCACAGGTATAATCTTTATTTATCTGATAATCATTACCATGTGGTAATGATTATCATGCAGTTATAACCTTTATTTATCTAGCGTGGTAGTGATCTTTTACTCAATATTAATAAATTAACATGTTAATATTTCTAATTATATAAAGCTTATTTTAATAAAGCTCCTTAAGTCTTATTTACTAAAAGATATAATTAGTGCAAAAATAAAAATAAAAAAGAAGCAAGTAGGGTGTATACAATTATTATGGCCTCGTGACATTGCACTGCTAAAAATAGAACCACAGTAAAACAAAAAGGAAATGACAAGAATGCCCTAAAAGTAACTAATTAATACAATAGATACATGCTTTAATTGTTAGAAGTAATCAGATGGCAACATTATATCATGTGAAATGAATTAAATAAAATAGTGATACAAAAAGTATATTTGCTTTCAAAACTATTTTTGAAAAAAAGTGGCACTTACGGAGTTAAATACTTTAACATTTCCAGTAAACAAGTCAGAAAATTATACAAAAAAAAAAAATTAAATTTAAAGATAAAAAACAGTTCTAAAAACAAATAAAGCTACCTCTGCAAATACTTCAGGTGCATGCTCCATAGCAGTATGCATGTTTTGATTAACTGTCTCCATACGGATTTCTTCTGCAATTTTAGCTTGAGCTTCAGGATCAAAAGGATCAGCAGCTAGTAATTGAATGCGCTCTCGTTCAATCTGCAAACGCTCAACACGTTGCTCTTCAAATACCTACAATGAAATAAAAAATATAGACAACTATTTTCGATTTGTTTCATAATAAAAAATAATTTAAATCAACTAATAACCTTTTCAAAATCTATAGGACTGTTTATAACTTCTGCAAGTCGTGGGTTTCTTTCTTTCAATAATGACATTTGATGTGGATCACTTAAAAACATAGTACGAATAACTTCAGGGTTGTTTGGATCGATTCTTTGACGAGAATGTTGTTGTGTTCTTGTGTGAGAAGTAGAAGGAACATGAACTGATCCCCAATCAATGCTTTATAAAAAATGTAATACAATCAATTATGTAACATGAATAAAATTAAAACTTGAAATGCTATATAAAAATTATACCCAGTGCCAGCGTGGACACTAGATACTGGCCTGCCAGTGCTTGGTGGACTAGATGCATTGGTAATCGAACCATGTGGAAGAGGCCCAAACAACAAAACATCATTGTTTTGAACACCCAATTCGGCTAAGTTTTTTTTATCTCCGATCAACAATTTACCATTATGAAAAAAAACCATGTCTGTCATTCCTATTGAACCACTTTCAACTTGGACAAGCACTTTAAAATTTTCAAGTTCAATTTCTGGCGAAACTTCCAAAGAGTAAACAACATCTGTGGAAGCACATGTTACAGTGATAAGCATTTTAAATAAATGTCATTGAGTCTTTACAAAATCTGAAACTTATTTTTTTTTAATATACAAAAATCCAAAATGCTTCCAAAATAAAAAGTGCAGTTCGACACAGCTAAATTTAAATCAGCAAAATCAGACTTCTCTATTAGTTACTTAAAATATCAAATATATACATATATATATATATATATATATATATATATATATATATATATATATATATATATATATATATATATATATATTTAAAGGATAACATCTTGTGTGAGAGTATATTTTTAAAATAATATATATATATATATATATATATATATATATATTATTTTAAAACATCAAAAATACGATTTCTCTTAACACTTAAGTGTTAAACTTATTTTTTTTTAATATACAAAAATCCAAAATGCTTCCAAAATAAAAAGTGCAGTTCGACACAGCTAAATTTAAATCAGCAAAATCAGACTTCTCTATTAGTTACTTAAAATATCAAATATATACATATATATATATATATATATATATATATATTTAAAGGATAACATCTTGTGTGAGAGTATATTTTTAAAATAATATATATATATATATATATATATATATATATATATATATATATATATATATATATATATATATATATATATATATATATATATATATATATATTATTTTAAAACATCAAAAATACGATTTCTCTTAACACTTAAGTGTTAAGAGAAATCGTATTTTTGATGTTTTAAAATAATATATATATATATATATATATATATATATATATATATATATATATATACATATATATATATATATATATACATATATATATATATATATATATATATATATATATATATATATATATATATATATATATATATATATATATATATATATATATATATATATATATATATATATATATATATATATATATATATATATATACTCTTGCTTGGTCAACTGTAGTTTTTACCATAAAATTTAAATTTTGAATTAAAAAAAAAAATTATTTAGAAGATTTGTAAAACTTGAAAATAAATATTTTTTTAACTGATAAACTGCCTGCCCAAACCAAAACCCTCAGTCAATGTTGCAGCAGCACTCCTCAAATGTTCAACCTATTTGTCAGTTGATGTAGCAGCACTCCTTGCATATTTTACTTATATATCAGTAGATGCAGCATCACTCCCTTCCAGGGTTGGGGTCAAATATATTTTTGTATTTGATAACAAATTTTCTTAAATACTTGTATTTGTATTTGATTGAAATATATTTGCAGTTCCAAAAACTGTTAACCAGTGTTGTTTTGGGAAATACCAAGGAGGCTTTTTTTTTATTTTTTTTTATTTTTAACACAAAAATAAATTAAAATTTTATTTTTGAGAATATTTGTTGAAAGACGTTTGCATTCTTCTATATAGTAGACCAATTTATCAGACTTGTCTTAAAAAAATCTTTATATTTTTTGTTAACCCAAACTAAAAATATTTGTAATTGAATTTGGAAAATGCCGATTGCATTTATTTGTATTTGAATTTACATTCAAAAAACTAAGTTTAACATATTTGTATTTGATCAAACGTATTTGACCCCAAACCTGCTCCTTGCATGTTTTACCTATTTGACAGTAAATATATATAAACAGTAAAAAATAAAAAATAGTACAATTGGTTGAACAAATAGTACTATTCGTTGAGCAAATAGTACTACTAGTATATATATATATACATATAGATAGATATAGATATATAAATATATGTTTATGTATATACTAGCCATGGGATATATATTTTTTAAATAACGACATCTAGCATGAGAGTTGAATAAATTTAATATATGAACATCAATGAATACGAATTCTCTCAATACTAATTTTTTTTATTTAATCTAAGAAATTTTTAATTAATTATTGATACTAGCATCTTATTATTTATTTGTGTTTTAATTAATAATTTGTAATTTAGGCTGAAGATACTAGTATCAATAATCTAGCGAAAACTTCTTGGATTAACTTTAGAAAATTTGTATGTATATATGCAGGCCTCGGCAGAAAGCGAGAACTTTAGCTCTCGCTCGCGCCAATACTCCCTAAAACGATTTACGGGAGCAATTTACGGCTCTCGCAAAAGTATAATTTTTCTTTCGAAAGTATAATTACTGTTCTATTAAAATAAAAAATTAATTGCATAATAAATTGCAACGCTTTTTAAAAGACACAGTTGTTGCAAAAAAAAAAAAAAAAATTAAAATTGAACCTCAATTTAAATGAAGAGCAGCTCGCACAGCTCCCCAAGTTCGTTTTAGAAGGGCTTTTCACCGCTCTCGGGCTCATTTATTCCTGCCGAGGCCTGTATATGTATATATATACATATATATATATATATATATATATATATATATATATATATATATATATATATATATATATATGTATATATATATATATATATATATATATATGTATATATATATATATATATATATATATATATAGTATATATATATATATATACATATATATATATATATATATATATATATATATATATATATATATATATGTATGTGTATATATATATATATATATATATATATATATATATATATATATATATATATATACATATACACATCAGTCTTCTCCGTTTAGCCAGCGCTTTTGCGCTAAAGTCTTTTTTGCGCTCACCCACACGCCCGCAAAAACTTTGACAAGTGCATAATAAAGCGCTTGCCAAAAAATTAAAAGTGCATTTTTTTAAATTGCAACAAAAATTTTTTGTTCATTTGTTTAACTTTTATTAAAAATGCTTTTTTTTACTATTTTTTTTTTAATTATTTTATCAAGTATTTATTAAAAGCACTCTTTCTGCAATTTTAAATTAAATTAAATAACAGAAAAAAATGAATTTTTTAAATCGGGCAGGCTAACTTAAAAACGACCAACCTGCTAGCATTTTATTGTGCGCTGGCATCAAATTTCAAATGGAGAAAACTGACACACACACACACACACACACACACATATATATATATATATATATATATATATATATATATATATATATATATATATATATATATATAATTTTTTACTTAAATAAATTTCAAAAAATTAAAAAAAAATTTATTAAAATTATATTCTAATAAAGATAAAAAGAAACTATTTTTATAAAATTCATAAAAATGTAAATATATTAAGGACGTATATCTTCTAAATTAACAGTACTTCCAACAATGTTGCGATGACTATAAACATGATCAGGTACACACAACGACACATTTAAATTTTCATTAAATATATTTCCTGAGCTTAGTTCCATTGGCATTTCAACCAAGTTTCCAACATCAATGTAATCATCCTTTTGTTCCCAAATACCAAAAATAACACTTTCATGGTCATCTAACAACAAAGATTGTTTTTCAGATTCTTTTAGTATATAGTCATGACAATTTATTGAATTGCAATGACCATTTACATCAGCAACTATATTTTGTTCTCTAGAACCTGAAAAAATATCCATTTGTGATTCCTCACTACTGGTAGCATATGTAGCACTTGATTCAGTATACTCATTACATATAAATTCACCAAAAGCTGCAGATGAAAACTCTTCATTTATTAAAACATTACGCGATGGTAAAGTACCAGTAAAATCTTTAGAAAGAAATGTCTTGAATTTATTTAATGTTAAAGAGCAATCAGAAGACTTTTTATTTTTAGTCATGTTATGTGTTTTTTGGTGCACTTTTAAATTTGATAAAGTAAGATATGACTTATTACAATTTTGAAACTCGCACTGGTATGGCCGTTGACCTGCATGTTTCAGCATATGTACTTTTAAAGTCCAGGCACAGGAAAAACTTTTATGGCAATTTAATTCAGAACATTTAAAGTGCTTGCTATACTCGTGGGTTCGCTTATGAGCCTTTAAATATTGAAAATAATTAAACTTCATATCACAACCCTCAAAATCACACACAAATTCCCTTTTATCTAAATGTATCAACTCGTGTCTCTTTAGACGAGTTTTGTTTGCAAATGCTTTGTTACATCCATTATAACCACACTTGAACTTTGAATCCCCAGTGTGGGTTAAGAAATGCTGCTTTAATAAATATGGCTTTTGAAAAATTTTACCACATTCTGTGCAAATAATTTCAGATACATGGTTGGCAAGATGAAGAACAAGCTCTTCTTTGGTATTAAATACACCCTTGCATCTCTTTTTTAAACATTTAAAGCTATTGGCTGAATGTTCTTTTTGAGTATGCTCTAATAAAGAAACATTAGATTTAAATGTCTTTAAGCAGGAAGCTTCTGAGCATATATATCTTAAATGTATTTTTTGATGAACTGTTAAGTTGTAACTATTAGAAAACCCTTTGTTACAAACATCACAAATAAAAGGTTTTACACCAGTATGGCTTTTAATATGACGATTGAGTTTGTATGCAGTAGAAAAAGACCAATCACAATCTAAACATTGGTATGGTTTCTTTACATTACTTTGCTGATTATTTACATAACTATTAGTTAACATTTGAATTATTTACACTATAAAAAAATATATATATAAAAATACATTTAAATAAAATTTGTTTTAGATCTCCAATTTTTTAAAATTAAATTAGTAAACAATATATTTTAATATGAAAAAAATTCAAAACAAAAAAAAAAAGAAATGAAATTGTCTTAACATTGAGATATATATTTTTTTAATTGTAGAATTAAAGTTTAAAAAAAAAAAAATATGTTTATCATATTTTTTTGAAATATAAAAAATGTATTACATACTTTAAGACTTATATTTTAGTTTTTGTAATATAAAAAATTATTATAAACAATTGCAGCAGGAATAAAAAATGAACAGTTGTTAAATTAAACAGGTACTAAAATAAACAGGCAATAAAAGAAACAGATGTTAAATTTGACTTACTTAAAAAACATGCACAAAACAATTAATGAACTTATAATTTTATTAACTAAAAAGCTTATACTTGATTTTTTGCACAAAACAATTAATGAACTTATAATTTTATTAACTAAAAAGCTTATACTTGATTTTTTGCACAAAACAATTAATGAACTTATAACTTTATTAACTAAAATAAACCAGGAAAAATTTTATTGCTTAAAATTTTTCCTGGTTTATTTTAGAAAATCTTGTTTTAAATCTGTTTTAAATTTTTTTAAAGTGTTTGTTTTTTTTCTTTCTTTTTAGATTATTTTATTAAATCTTGTTTAATTCTAGTTTATTTTTTGTTAAATTAATTTAATCAAGCTTTTTTGTTTTATGAAAAAAGTGAAGTAGAGCGAAATAAACAAAAATGAATAAAAATATGAATGAAAAGAAAAAAAGAACAAAAATGAGTCAAAAACATTTTTTTGGTTTATTATGGCTTATTAAAGAAACTTAAAGAAATTCAAAGAATGAATAAACTCTCACTCATGAGTTTCAACAAGTTCAAACAATTTATTTGGATTCGTTCCATTCATTTAAAATTTGTTTTTTTTTTCTTTAAAAAGTTTTTTTTTCAACAAATTATTGCATTTGCAGAAAATATTAGAATATTCTGGCATTTAAAAAGACAATTTTAAAAAAAATTTTCAAGTAAAGTATTTTACAAAGTAAAATACTTTACTTGAAAAAGGTAAAACAAGTTTTTAATGATTGTGCAGATATTGAAATTTTAGTAACTGTTACTATTCAAATTTCTTCTTAAAATATCTAATTTGAAAATTGATCAGACCTATTGGTTATTAAGTTTAATAATCTGTAGCTTATACTTGATTTTTTGTTTTAGATCAGCATCTTTAAATTGAAAATGCTTGAAAGCTTGAAAAAAGACTTTCATGAAAAAAGACTTCCAAAAAAAAATCTGTTTTCTGGAAGTCTTTTTTCAAGCTTGAAAGCTTGAAAAAAGACTTCCAGAAAACAGATTTTTCCTGGCTTGTCAAATCTGTTTCCAATGAAAGATCTTTTCCAAGTTATAAAGGTTCCATTTTCATAGCTACCTTTTCCTCACCTAATGGGTACAAAAAGTCAAGATATTGAAAACCAATACAGAAAAGTTAGTATCGTTTATAGGACTGATATTTTTAAAGGAAAAGAAAATCCTAAAAACACTGCTGAATTCTGGATAGCTCTAAGGTACTATGTTGACATTTTTGGACATCCCGCTTTTTGCAACATTTCTGACTACTGCCTTTCTTGTTTATGTGTTCTTGTTTCTAACTGTTTTGTTGACTGTTTTCAGGTCACCTATTTGAAAAGCAAACAGAGAAACAGAATGTCAAACCAAGTGTTGGATGCAGTCATTTGCATAAAATCTTATTTAATGAGCCAAAAGATTTGTTGTAAAGACTTTAACATTCTCGAATCAATCATTTTAAAGGTCGGAAATAAAATTTATACAACAGATGCATGAGAAAATGAAGACGACCTTCACATATTGGCAGAACTTTATTAAATGTTTTGGAGAATAATACTTAACTAATAAATTTTTGAATAAAATAGTTCTACTTTATTGGAACTAAAATAGTTCTTACTTTTTTTTGTTCTGGTTTATTTCTGGTTTATTTTTTTTTTATTTTCGGCTTATTGCCAAAAAAAAAACTGGCAACCCTGATGCCAAACTTTATGGAAAGCTTTAGATCAAGTGCAACACCTCTAGCCTTGCCCACTCCTGCTGTATGATAAAATCTTTTAGTCACAGCAGTTAGCAAGCTAGTCATATAGCAAGAAGATCAAAAAACATATTGATTGTCTGACAGTAAGTTATTTGACTCAAAATGGGATGTGAGAAAATTGATCGAAGACTCAAAGACCTTGCTAATAACAGAAATTTGTTGATCGGAGACTCAAAGACCTTGCTAATAACAAAAATTTGTTGATTGGAGACTCAAAGATCTTGCTAATAACAGAAAGATGCTATAGGTTTTATAATATATAGTTAGTATATATTATAAAAGTTATAAAACTCCTAATTTTATCAAAACTTGACAATGAGATCCACTCCTTTGTTTTATTATCACCCCCCCTCCTCCTCCTTTATGTTAAAATTTTTAATATCACAAAGCATTATTTGTCCTAATAATCAAAACAACTCTTTTTAGGAACAAATCTTAGAACAAATATCAGAAGATAAAGAGTAAAATATTTGCATTTATATATGAATACTACTAGTTTCTCAAACATTGATTTTGTATAGAAATAAGATTTGTTTTAGAAAAGATGTTTTAGATCGAGTTATTAGTTATTACTATTCACATAACAAAAATTACATTGTGAAGACTTATATTTCAATCAAAATACAAAAATCAACCTTACACTGCAATCTGAGGTCTACTCTTTAAATAAATAAATAAAGCAGATGCTATGTCTGAGTAGGTTAAAAAGCAATAATTATCTTATATATAATTATTGCTTTTTTTTTTTTTTTATTTTATTATCTTCACTTCCAACAAGGCTGCAAGCAACCACTATAAGAGTTGGAAGTTACTGGAAGAGAAAAGACTAAATCTGTAGAGCAAGATAACGATTGACTGATGACTTAAAAGATTGCAATGATGACTTAAAAGATTGACTGATGACTTAAAAGATTGCTTTAGTAATATTAAATTATTTAAACAATGTCTCCATTTTATTTTTACCCTTATTTTACAAAAAATATTTTTGAAAAACCCCCTTAGGGCATTTTCTTATAACCCTTCCCCTCCCACAAATCCCATTTAAAGATACTTTCCCTGAAGTACCTACCCAACCTGCTTATTTAACACCTCCAAGTCCCTACAATTAAGCACAAAAGAGTAAGGTAATAGTAAAAATAAACTTTTTAGACTCTTGCCACCATTTTTACTAAATTAATGTTCTAACCATTTGAGTTAAATTTAGCAAATTTGATGATATATGGTGCAGATTTTTGTTTTTGTGTTTTTTGACATGGAACAAATCATCTATAAAAAGTTGGAAATATACATAAAAAATATTATTTCTTATGCATATATTGTACTTGAGAAATAATATTATATATATAATTTATATACATAACAAATAGATTTTCTCAATAATTAGTTCAACTAACTAATCAATCAGCAATATTCATAATAAAGTGCGTAGATTTCTGACCTTTTTTTTTAGATTTTGATCCATATTTTTTAAACTACTTTTTTTTTTAAAAAAAATATTATTCTATCAAAAAATTAAAAACGAAAAAACTTTCATAAAATAGAGGGTATAAGTAAAAGTTGTAAAACTTTATAGACCCATGGCTTCATTTTTTAAATAAAAAATCTCTAGCTTAGGTGATTTGACTTTTTTAGGAAGTATAAATGGTTTTCTTTTTCTTTTAAATAGGAGATTTCTGACCAATTGTCTAAAGTAAATCCGACTGTTATAAACAAAGATATTTAACTCAATATGAATAAAACCTAAAAATTATTTTAGTTATAATTATGCATGTTAATTTTTAACTGTTCAAAAAGATTTAAAGAAATATAAAACATTATTTTTTGTAATTACTTTTTATCTCAATATAGATCAGTTTATTATGTTTATAAAATATAACATGTTGACTTTTATGCATTTAAGTTTAGGTCTTACCCTATTTGTTTCTTACTAAATAAATTTTTTAAATATTCATTACTAATAAAAACAAACTTGTTGTGAGTATTTTATAATTTAAAAGAATAATGGCACTCAAAACTAAATTAAAATATTGTACATAGAGAAGTGTCTCATTTGGTACAGAAAAGCACTTCTTGGTTTTAGATTTACCAAATACCAAGAGACATTTTACAATATGGTATTTAATTGAGAGATGGCTGAATTGTTATTATATATTACAGAAATATAACAAAGAAAACTTCCAGTAAAAAGAGATATATTAAAATAAAGATATATTACCAGATCACATCAGTGGTCACATGCGAACTTTAAATTACCTAAATTAATTACTGACAATATCTTCGTGATAAAATAGTTTCATTATAGAATAGGTTTCAGCATAATTCCACCTTAATTTTAAAAAAATGTTATCTAAAATAGTAATTCCATCAGTTCAAAAATCAGCATTTTTATTTTTTTAAATATAATTGGCAATTGTATGCTATTCAAAATTGTTAAATATATTATAGTACTTATATTAAATATCACTTATATTATAAGTATATATATATATATATATATATATATATATATATATATATATATATATATATATATATATATATATATATATATATATATATATATATATATATATATATATATATATATATATATATATATATATATGTATATACACTTACTAAAGCGTGCTTTGATAAGCATTTGCTCCCTTTTTGTGCTTACCTTAAGCTATACCTTTTTTTTTTTTGAAAAAGAAGAAAAAAACGAAGAATGATGAATAAAACGATTGCTTCCACATCCCAAACCCTCAGTCAATGTAGCAGCACTCCACTGCGAGTCACTCCATAGTGTCACTCCATTGACTAGTTTGTAACTATATGAGTGACACCTAACCAATTTATTTTAATTTAAGATGAAATTTGTAAATTTTATT